GAGGAGAAGTCCTACTCCCAAAGCCCTGAGCCCTGATCCCCTGACCCCAAACCCGAATACTATAACCCCTAAACCCTGCACCCTAAGGGTTTAGGGTTTAGGGTTTAGGGTTTAGGGTTTAGGGTTTGGGGCCCAAACCCTATAAGCCTACACCCCAAACCCAGTCATTCACGGCGAGGAGTCGTGGTAGCCAGCGGTAGCACGCTGAAAATCCAGACGGAGTTGGACTACTCCAAGTCGACCCGCAGGAGTACAGAGGGTTTAGGGCGTTGGGGATTAAACTGTTTAGTTCAGAGGTTTAGGCATTGGGTTTAGAATTGTAGTTATTCGAGTTTAGGCAGAATGGGGGAGGGCCGAATCCCTTTCGCAAAGCAAAGGCTCAATCTCCAAAACATAGCCTAAAAAATCATGACCTTCTGTCTAACGAAGGTTCACCGTTTCGGATGGAGGCGTTCATGGTGTGGAGTTGGCCGGCATGTCGATGTCCAAACTGTAGTATGGTTTCTATATTCTAGCGTATTGTGTATGGATCTTAAATAGGGCAATGCAGGGGCCTTAAGAATTACCAATACTATTTTTTGTGGGGTTCCTTCCATAATTATAGTATAATGGGCCCCAGAACCCTAGTCTAATTATTAAGGCCCCTAGATTACACCCGAGCTCAGAACCTTGCCGGTTCAACCAGTGATTTATAAGGACAAGCCACCAGCAACACAACAATGCTCACATGACCTTTTTCGAGTGGTTCTTGTTGGGCTTTGATTCCCATCTGATGCTCCAGCCGCGACCAGGCATCTTTGGGACGAGCCCTTTATCAATTTCTTTGGATTTATTCCGATGCTGTTTGATACTGTTGCTGACGACATGTCCTGTCACCAGCTCGCCAACTTGTTCGCCCCGGGCCCACATGAGGCTTGTGTTGGTGACCTTGCTTGCATTTTGCTTGACAGCTTCCGCCTCTGAAAGGAAGAGATGTGGACCCAACTTCGGCTGTTTGCTGATCTCAACATTGTGTACTGCGTAATTACTTTGGGCACGACTCTACCTACCGGATTTCTACCAGATTAGTTAGACAACCTTAAACCCTAAACCCTAAACCGTACTTGGAGGTTCATGGGTAGTCATAAGTAGGGTTCTAAGTAGGGTAACTATAAGTAAACCCATATTAGGGGACTTATAACCCCACTTATAACTACCCATGAACCTGGAAGTACACATGGATGTCAGGAGCCCATATCATCTCCAGTGGAGCCCGACGGATGCAGCACACCTGGCACTGCGAAGCCAGAACATGGCATGGATCCACGACTTCTCAATGGGATCCCCAGCCGCAGACCGCAAGCCTTCCGAGTTAGGGTTTAGGGTTTAGGGTTTAGGGTTTAGGGTTTAGGGTTCAGGGTTCAGGGTTTAGGGTTTAGGGTTTAGGGTTTAGGTGGAACGATCTTCAGGGGCTGAGGCTTTAGGGTATAGGCTAAAGGGCTTAGGGTGACAGCCGCACCTGATTTTAACATGTTGTGTGGTGCTTAGAGACGCAGCTCACGCGGTGGGGGGGATAGGTTCTCTGCCGGCGCCGGCTTGATTCGCAAGCATGTTCGAATGTATAAACTTAACGAAATCGACCTACGTGACAGGTTGGTCCAGTGTGGACACCTGGTAATCTCCTGACGTTATTGTCACCTGGTATTCTTGAGCAGCTCTGGTTCCCAACAGAACGTAATGTTTCGTGTTACGAGAATTCAAATGCATCGTCGAAGCCAGAGCGTCGAGCTACTGTTGCCGAGCCGAGGCCGCAGCCAGGATCAAGGCCTTAGCGATTTGGCCTCCCCTCCCCAACCGTAGGTAGTATTATTAGGGGTACCCCTTAAAAGGTACCCCTTCTGAACCCTACTTTTGGCTCTCTTAAAGGGGACCTTATTGAGAGGGTCTATATCCCCAAGGGTCCCCCTAATCCTAGCTCCCAAACCGAAAAGAAACACACTGAAGCAACAATCTCAATCTCGAAACCCTGTATCCCGAGGACAACTTTTCAAGTCCGTCCAGCATCGGACTATCAATGCACACTGCTGTTTTTCTACACCCCAAAGCCAAAGAGTATGCACATGCGCAGCTGCTACAGCTAAAAGCGTTGCCAGAGTTTCGTGGCTTCCTCTGCTAGTCGTTTCTTCTCTTTGCTAGTAGTGCGGAAAGCAACTTGATGAGAGAGTGTTGAGATGATTCCGCAGCAGATTTTGCTGCGGCCGTAGTCGCCTACGATATAGTATCGGGCCTTGACTAAAGGAGATAGTTATATTTGGATTGCTGCATTGACGATATACTCTTCCATCTCTGGGCCAGCATCATCACTGTGCTTGATTTCGTTCTACGGCTCTGTTTTGAACTTGGCAATGCGATATGGCATGCTTTTGTAGCTGCTGTGGCACCGGCGACGACGATGGCTACAGCTATCTCTATGTTGTTTCGTTGTCGATTGCTTTTATCACCAAGAAAAGGAGCCGCTGTGTACCTCTTCGGCAACCACAACAGTCTGCCGTAAACCTGAACCTCAAGACGCCTGCAGCAAGGAAAAGAAGTCTTCGCGCGGCCTTGCAGGGGTGGGAAAAATTCCATCAAGTGGTGCCCGGATGGGAGCAAATTCGCTCTTGTGTCTGGGGTGATGCACGTGGATGTCTGTGCTCCTTGGACAGCAGCCGTGAGCTTTCCGAGGGCTCGGACTCGATGATTGGGAACAGGGGCCACCCTTTCATGGTATCAGTTTTTGGCTTATGTATTCCTGTGTATCAGTGGGTGCCAATGCCGAAAGGAGTTGTGAGCACAGACCGCGGCACGCGCGCACACGCCACACACGCACATAAATATATTATGAGTAAAGATCAACAACCAAGTATAAACATATACATGGATAAATGAATCTATATATATATATATACATAGGCTCAGGGGTAAACCTAGCGGGAGCGGGGTAGAGGGTAGAAGTACGAAAAAAAAGCAGCGATGGAGGAACAGGAGCCCTCGAGCGAGGGGGCACTACAGATTGCCAATGACAACGGCCAAGTGAGGAGAAGCCTCCAAGATGACATAACGCAAGCAGTGGAGCCACAGTCCAAAAGGAGCAAAGGCAGAAGGCAGTGGTCCAGCAAACTTCCCGACACAAACACTCCGATCAGACCTACGACAGGGACCAAGACACCAATCCGCAAGCGCACAGAGGACAAGCCGCAGCATGAGAAGATCATACAGGCAATCGATGACAAAGTAGATGACATCACGGAGCAGTTCAAATCAATGCGCCTCAACTTCGACAAGATCCAAGACAGACTAGAAGAGTGTTGTGATGACCAATATGTGTTTCGCAAACAGCAGCTATGGGCACTACATGCGCAGGTACGAGAGCAACGAGACAAAGCCGCAAAGGAAGAGTGTATGGTGGGGTGGCCGGCTTCCGCAACCGCTACTCAGCGTACGGAGTTCGTGAAATGGTGTTTGAAAGAAGCAGACATAGACGTTTCGACATGTGACATTTCGCATTCCGTGAAGTACCAGCAGCTGTCTCCCATGACAATCCTCACCTTCAGACATCCGTCCTTACGTATACAGATGGACAAGTGGTTCAAGGAGGAATCTATCAACAAGAAGAAGACACTGAACTTTTACATGGATGGGCAGTGTACTACGGATGCCATCAAGCTACGACCACAAGTGGCGGTATGGGACAGAATCAAGGGCGAGCCATTGAAAATTTGCTTGAAAGCCATGGACATAGCCAACCGAACCGGACAGATCAAGGTGAACATGGATAGAGTCAAACCATGGTGGAATCACAACGCTATTTACGACGACTACTACACCTTCGCATGGGTTTACTTTAGCGTGCGAGATGTACAAGCCATTGTATATTTAGACCAGTCCATCTACAAAGCTGTGAAAGATACCTGGGCCGAGGCAGCACAAGCTTTAAGAACCAGGATTCCGACCGAGCCATCCTCAAGTTCACAGTCCAAGGGTAAAGGAAACAGCAAGGGCAAAGGCAAGGCGTTCGACACGACTCTCGGCGAGTACCCTTTCGAGTTCAAGTTTGCAGAAGTGAAGGATTGGCATTATGATCGTGATGTCAGGGCGCACCAAGAGCAAGCGCGTGATGAAGACATGTGACTAGGTCCTAAGGATGGCAACAGATCTGGTGACAGTTCAAAGTTCGTTTCTAATCTCGCTTCTAATTTCGCTTTTAATATGCAGTCTCGCGGGCAGACATCGTATTACAATTCTCCTGATTCTAGCGTTTTCTCTAATCTTCGGTATCCTATCCATGCCTTTGTACACGAAGCCCGTGAAATTGCATCCAACACAAATGCTGCAAATCAAAGATGCTCAGACAAAACCCCCCCGCTAGATCCTACGCCCACACAAGGCGAGCCGGTTCAGCCGCGGAAGCCTGTAGTTTCCAGCGGAGTCAAATTAGGAACCCAAGCAGGGCTTGGAACATACGATGTAGGAATAGTTACAAGCGTGGTTTGAGGAGTTTAAGTAGGTGTGGTGAGCGGAATCGTAGCAAAAAGACGCGGCTGAATAGGCGATTGTTCCGTAGTTTCAAGCAGTGGTACCTCAAATTCGCTATCAGAAGCAGAGGCAAAGCCCAAGAAACGAGCAGGCGGCAAAGCAACACCGACAAATGGAAGCAACTGAACCGAATGGAAAGGAAACGGTTATTTCTGCAGTTTAAGAATAGGGACAAAAGGATTGCAGAGCCCACTCAGCTAGCCTATAACAGGCCTATAAAAGCTGCAACCCTTAACGTCAGAGGGTTAGTAGGGGAAAACGCGTTGACTAAAGAGAGCATATTGGTTGACATCATGAAAACACAAGGCTATGACGTTATGCTTTTGCAAAAGACTAATGCTAATACTAGCTGCATCCGGGATGTCAATAAGTTCACCTTCTATTACAGCTCCGACGTCAAACAGAAAGACATAGAAAGAACGAAGAACAATCTTCAAGATGCAAAGGCAAAAGGTAAAGGCCAATCTTCAGTCCAGCGGACTGATGTTGAGCGAGCTGGCGTAGCCATCATTGTCTCACCATTTCTCAAACATTTCGTGGGTGATGTCAGGCAAGTGTCGGGCAGGATCATTTCGATAAAGCTGAAATCCAAGGGAAGGGACATATTCTTTACATCCTGCTATGCCCCGCATAGTGGTCACGACTCCGATACTAAGATCAAGTTCTATGATGATTTAAGAAGCTGTTGTGAAAGTAGGCCGGTTCATTTTATTGGGGGCGACGTGAATGCCAGACTTCACCACCGAATGCAAGCAGAAGCAACGGTGCTCGGACCACACATCTTCGGTAGAGGCCTAGATTATTTGAACACAATGTCGGAGATGACCCTGGAGAACAGATCCTTATTCACAAACTTTTGCTTACATCAAGGTTATTGCGTACTAAATACGTATTTCAACAAATCTGCCAAGGAATATTGTACATTCAGAGAGAACACCACGGTGCATGGCCCGGCGTGGTCTCCGACAAGATATGCTCAATTAGACTTTGGTTGGCTAACGAAAACTTTAACAAGAGTTGTAAGGATGTAAGATCCAGGACGGACTTGCATTTCCCTTCTGATCATTATATTGTGGAAGCATTGTTCGCAGTCAAACTTACGGGCAGCAGCGGAAGGCAAGTCCGTCCAAGAGCGGCTAAGTTTCGGCAGCCAACCGACGCGGAATGGAAGAATTACAACGACAAACTGAGCTGTTTTCTACCTGAACTAACACAGAAATTCAGTAATGAATGGCAGAATGCACCTGCTGGTATTGCGAAAATAGCTTCAGAGTGCTTGACCCCTGTCATGAATTCCCAAAAGCAACCCCATATTTCTAGACATACTTGGCAGTTAATAAACCGCAGACAGCAGGCGCATGAACAAGGAAGAATCGACGAAACGAAGTTGTTGTCAGAAGAAATCAAACAGAAAGCCAAGAAAGATAAAAAAGATGCTCTTATGAGTAGTCTCGTCAACCTAGAAGATCAAAGGGAGAAGTGGCAAGGAATTAAAGGAATGAAAAAAACAGCTTTACCACGTTTTCTACAAATGAAAAATGAAAACGGTCAACATGTGGCTCCTAAGGATAGAGCAGAGTGCATAGCTAAATACTTGGAGCAAAAGCATTGGCACAACGACAATACCATGAGAATTCAGAGGTTGGAGAAGATACATGATTCAGAAGAAGTCTTCAACACAGGCCCGTTCCTCATAGATGAGTATGACTTAGTCCTCAAAAGTCTGAAAAGAAACAAGCAACCAGGACCCGATGGCTTTATAATGGAACTGTTCAAGTGGATGGACCATGCAAATAGGGCTTTAATGCTTGCGCTTATCAATAGTTGGTGGTGTAAAAAATCTGCCCCGAACGATATCTTCTTAGCAAGAGTAGTCCCCATTTATAAGAAGGGTGATATTGACATGCCGTCAAACTACAGACCTATATCACTATTGAATTCAGTCTATAAGATATATATGAGTTTGAAACGCAATCGACTGCAAAGTATTCTGGAGCCAAAGTTGTCGAAGACACAATACGGGTTTCGCCCAGCGCGAAGCACGTCACATGCGATATATGTTACCAGACGCACTCAAGATATTGCAGAACAACGAGGATGCAATTTAATCATTACTATGCTTGATTGGGAAAAGGCATTCGACAGAATACAGCATGACAGAATGGCGACAGCCTTTAACCGTCTCTGTATTCACTCCCACTTCATTGATGTAATAATGGATTGTTACAGTAATCCTCGCTTCTTTGTTGAGGATGAGTTTGGGATATCCGTTATAAAACAACAAGGATCAGGCATTCGCCAAGGTTGCCCTTTGTGTCCTTACCTGTTCGTGTTAGTAATGTCTGTCATACACGACATCAGCTGTAATATTAATCAGCGCACGATAAATTCCAGATTTGCCGGAATAGACTTCGACAGAGTTTACTATGCGGACGATACTTTACTCATTAGTACCAACACACAAGCTGCCAACAACTTCTTACACGAAGTAGAAGCAGTGTCTGCACAATTCGGGTTACGCCTTAATAGGGAGAAATGTTGTTACGTTGCCATGAACGGTCACCATGTCGTCAAATTTGCTGATGGCACCAGGCTGAAAAGAGTAAACGAAGCCACATATCTGGGACATCAAATCACACAAGCCATAGATATAAGACATGAAATCAACCACAAAATGCATGATACTTTAAAAGTTTGGTATAAGCTAACCAGCTTTTGGAACGCTGTGCAGTGCCCAGCGCACTGGAAATTACATGTTTATGATGCCATCATCAGAAACAAACTTCTGTATGGCCTAGAAACTATTCATCTAACGCAAGC